CCAAATAGTGTGTACTGTTCAGTTGGCATTTTCTAATAAATAGCTCCGCAGCGAAGGCCTTCTTTCTTTCACCCGTATTACCGATCTTATGCGAATACTCACTATAGTAGCTGACAAGAGCGCGAGATAGCTGTAAGGCGCGAAATTACCGCCTGGAAGGTTCGTGTTTCGAACCCAACCTCAGTATCTTGAGTGCCCCAGACTTAGGCAACCTGGTGGTATCTCAGCCTTTGTGATTTTTCGGGTTGCATGTGAGTTATTCACTGTTAAAGGTTGTTACAGCTGAACATGTTACAGTTGATGATAATCAGACGGGACCTAGGACCCCTGGTAAAATGTTACTTCTAAGCTTCCTTCATAGAGCTGTCCTTCCATGTGATTACTCACTTAGGGTCCTTACAGGTCTAAGTTACAGATGTTTGTCTCTCAGGTTCAGACAAATTTGACGTGAACTATCAGTCATTTTACACAATGCATTCAGTAGACTTGGTTATTCATAAGCTCCTGTAAGCATCTCGAAGGTAAATAGTGCGATGTTGCTGATCATATGCTTTCGGATCTCCGAAACCGACGTGTAACTTCACCAGAACGACACTCACTATTCAGCTATTGATCGGCTTTTAACTGATATACTGTCTGCTTCTCCTTACTGGCCGTGTCTCGTAGACGTCTACACACCTTGTTTAACTCTTTTTCTCCGAGACCATCCGTTTAGAAATGTGATCGAAAGTTCCGTCGTGTTCTTTTTTCTAAATCTTCATCCATCACGCTCATCCTCACACACTGGTTTTGGCTTGATGTTATCCCCTGTTTGAAGCTTCACAGCTCAGCACCAAGCGACATGTTCTGCTCATGGATGAAGTGGACGGCATGGCTGGAAATGAGGATCGTGGTGGAATGCAGGAGCTTATCAATATGATCAAGTCTACACGAATCCCCATCATATGTATGTGTAACGATCGTCAGTCCCCAAAAGTACGTTCCATTTTCACTCATTTGCAAACAAATTTGGTTTTGTGAGAGACCAACCTGGAACCCAGATGAATCTCTAAGCAACTGAATGTGCTGCACCAGGCCGCCTCATGTTCTAGTTGCTACGATATTCGAGATATCGCGATACATGTATAGACGTCGTCCACTGGTTGCTGGAAATTCTCCGACAGCCCACGACCGGCTCCGCCCTTCTTGGGGGCGCTTCCATCAACCCTATGTTCTACTTCAACCGAAATTCCACGGAAATGGCGAAATACTGTCATTTGCATACCAAATTGGTTTTGGAGTGAGAATCACCTGGATCCCAGCTGAATGTTGGTTTTTGATGTGTTCGGAACACAACACAAAATACTCCGCTTTTGAGAAAGCGAGAAACACCTCAGTTCGGCGGGTTCACTTTGAGCATATTTCTGCAATGCGGAGAGCGTAGATGACGCGGATATTCAGTCCGTTGTACCAGGCACAAACTACGCCAGGCGAGTCCCGCTTGTCCCATTTCTTAGTTCCCAGTATTAAGGAGTAGGTTGATTTTTTGTCACTCAAACGAAACTTCTCATCTCCATAAAATCACATGTACACTTTCGGGAAAATTCACTTCTTCGACTTTACTCATCGCTTAATCGACATCTCTCCATCAAGACTGCACGTACCGGTGACGTCGTTGCATCTCAAACGAACACTTCTCGATCAAACTCAGCTTATTTTGCATGATAAAAAGTCAACATCACAAACCAAATTCAGCTTATTTTGCATGATAAAAGTCAACATCACAATCGATTGCACTTAGAGCTGAGATGATGGTGAGGGAACAATCATCAGCACCATGCTTCCGTTTCTTCTCATTTCCACAGTCACTTTACGCCCATCCGAGACTGCGCTTACGTCTATCACAGTTGATCGGCGCTCCCGGACAGTGATTAGGTCAGGTTTGATGAAAGACTTCGACATAGGTGCTCTCAACTCTTTGAAGATGATGTATCCCAGGAGATGGAGACATTTCGCGCGTTACCTTGCAACCTGCTTATGACGAGCACAGCAGGACTGCAGAATATGAACCAAAGTCACCGGCTGGTCACAGTTTCCCCGGCATAAGATCGTCTGGTCACCATGGCCACACCGAGCACTTCTAATTATCGTCTTAAGAAGGTTACGCCGGGTACCTCGGATGAATATCTTGGGAAATACTTCTTCTTGTATCACAAGCCATTGATTCGATAGAGACGAAGTAATTAACTCTCGTAAACCGCGATCGTCAACGCTGTTTTGCAGAATATCGTCCCAAGTAGACACCAGTTTTTCCTTAGTGTTTACCCATGCACATTGGATTTATTTTGAAAGGTTGAGATCCCGGAAAACCTTACCAAATGCGGAATCATTTACCACATTGCGGCACTGGGTAGGCAGAAGCTTTTCCATATGCATTCTCTGCTGCATCGGGATGGTTGCACTCAGACTCGGGATTCCCCCATATAGTTTAACGGTGTGGATGTAGCTAATGGCGGTGTCCCTCAATAAACGTGGCCAGACATGAATAGATTGCCTGATGTAATTATCTAGCCTTTTGAGCGTGTTTCGGTCGACTTGGCCTCGCCCGAGCGCTTCGGCATCAGGTAGCTCCTTGTGATCTTCGTTTTTTTGCGCGACTTCACCGGGCACACATCATCCTATTGAGCAATTTTAGCAGCTGCTGTCGTGATTGCAGACTCCTTTCCTCTTGACAGTAAAGGGGACGCCCAAATATATCGTGGTGTCCATCGGACCCAGAGGATTGATGAGTTCCTAGGCGAAGCAAAAAGGTTCGACTGAGACCGCTGTCCCTCGATGTTTTCTGTCCCCACAAATCACCACTGCTTTCGGCTTTCGGGCGTTTATCTTCATACTGGCTCCCCCAACTTGACCGCAGTAGCTTCAATCATTTCTGACTTTCTCCTTACACGACCTAGGTGTCAGTGAAAGCAAAGCCATCCACTAAGGTGTCATGGAACTGGTATTTTAGTTGCAGCATCGACAATCCAATAACCTCATCCATCGCCATGATGAACAATATTGTGGAGAGTGCATATCTTTGTAATGCACTACTCATAAGGTTACTGAAAACTCCTCGACAGCCCGCAACCGGTTTCGCCCTTCTTGGGGCTCATCAGGTAGGCGCAGTCCCCTGGTTTCCGTCAACCTTATGTTCTACTTGAAACCTGAGAACTTGCCTGAGAACATCACAAACGAGAGATTCTGCTGGGTTCCAGGTGAGTCTCTCGAAAAACCAAATTGGTTTGCAAATGAGTGTATATTCGCTCATTGTGGAGAGTGGTTCTCCCTGCCTCATACCACTGTGGCATTGGGTAGGACTGCTACAGTATTGGTTGTTGATCGGATGGCTGTTGATCTGTTCGCCGAGCTTGGCAATTGACTTCAAGTCAGCGAACAGATCAACAGCCAATCTGATCAGCAACCAATAAACTTACCCGAGCTACCAATATTTCAACACACTGCTACAGCATTCTCATAGGACTGCGTGATGTATCGAACTAGGGGTGACGTGATCCAAAGGCCTCGGCAGCTTTGACAATTGTGTCATGCGAAACCGAATCAAACGCTTTCGAGATATCGACAAACGCCAAGCTGAGGTTAGAAGCAGTCGCTGAAGAGTGACGAAGCAGGGCATGCAACAGCGATTTGGCTTCCAAACAGCCGTCTCGATGCAGAAATGCAAACTGAAATGAGGGCAGTCGCAATCTACGACTCCAGCGATCAGCATGCACCTTATGGAAGCAACGAACAAGAATGGATGACACGGATATCGGTCTCAGTTGGTCCGGTGAAGTTGGATTAGGGGCCTTCGGAACAAGGGTAATACGGGCACGACACAGATGTGGGGGACAACTCCCAGATAATAACAGTAGGTTGAAATACCCAACGAGCACGTTAGCATTGAACCGGCGGAGCATCCTGGGCGTGAGCTCATCCAAACTTGTGAAAAAAACTGCCCATTAACTAGTGAAGACCTATTCCTACTACTGAATTCAAGATGACGCATTCAACAAGAGGTCGTTTGAGTCAGATGTACCCCTCTGTATTTTGGTACACCTCAACGCCTAGGGCAAACGTGCCGATGCCATCTCGGTTAAATTTAAAACGAAGCAACGAAATGGATGACACGGATATCGGTCTCAGTTGGTCCGGTGAAGTTGGATTAGGGGCCTTCGGAACAAGGGTAATACGGGCACGACACAGATGTGGGGGACAACTCCCAGATAATAACAGTAGGTTGAAATACCCAACGAGCACGTTAGCATTGAACCGGCGGAGCATCCTGGGCGTGAGCTCATCCAAACTTGTGAAAAAAACTGCCCATTAACTAGTGAAGACCTATTCCTACTACTGAATTCAAGATGACGCATTCAACAAGAGGTCGTTTGAGTCAGGTGTACCCCTCTGTATTTTGGTACACCTCAACGCCTAGGGCAAACGTGCCGATGCCATCTCGGTTAAATTTAAAACGATCACCAGGTGCACAGATTCGGGCAGTGAAACGATTTTCATCGTCACTTATTGCCCTGAGCAGGCGTTAGTACATCTTGATAACAAGGTGGTACGCAACGCCCTGCGTTCCAAGAACTCATCTCTTTTCCACCGTCCAAAACGGCTCCTGATCTCAACCCAAGTACGAATCCATGCAACATAGTAGAACGCTGAGGAGTAAAACTCTGTTAAACACACCTAGTCCGTTGTTGCTAAGGTACAAATCTGGAGTAGCGTCAGCCAGTGTCATTCGGAGCCGATGGTTTACCACATCATTGAGGCAGAATTATTTTTTTTTTAAATCTCGATTTCTCTACTGATTGACAACCTATAGTGCGGTTCCTTGTCATGTTTCTTTTTCCCTTTTTGGTGTTCTTACCAACCTTCTTTCGGAGTGTTCTTGTGTACTTGAGTATTGTTTTCGGTAATTTTTGTCAAAAGCTGACCGGAAATCAGTTGGTTCCATCCCCAAGCAGCAAGACTATTGTGAAAAACACGAGTGATCCCGAACTCATTACTCACTACCCGTTGATTGTGTGAATACTGCATTTGAGTTACATCGCAACTGAAACCAACTTTTGAAACACGAGTTTCCGCCATCACGTATTGCCTATTTAAGCTGTCTGAATGAAGGCATACGGCTGGTGTTCTTCGGGTAGGCTCTGATGTGATGGGTTTTCTTCCCGACCTGACTTTTATTCTTGGAACTCAGTTTCTGACCCATTGTGGACAAATGGTGCCAACGTATCAGACCTAACTACGTTTGATATCCTCGCCAGGATCGGTTGTTTTTGGAAATGCGATATTGGAAAGCAGGACAAAGGGATGGTGAACGGATCTAGAGCCAGACTATAAAGGACCTGCGGTGAGCATTTTTGCTAACAACCTGTCAGGTGATCCGGATACACACTGAGTTCTGGCGTCAGTGTTTGACCGTTGATGTCTTAGGAGCATTATCCGCGTCTGGTGGGAACACAGATCCAGTAATGCTGAAGTTCGTCGAATGGTTTTCGGAGGAAATATCTCACATATGATAGATGAACTGACTACACTCCATAGACTGCGCTGGCTTGGCCACGAGCTCCGCATGCCAATCGACCGACTTTTCGCATAACCACGCGAAGGGTGGAGACGAGCCACGGGAGGTCAAGCGGAGTATGAAAGCCATTACCAGCAAAGTCAGCCGCGCTGGTCATTGCCGTCCCCCTGGATAAGGACCCCGACACGGGCTACATCATTGATTAGAGACATTGTCAGACATGGCCCAGTCGCGCCCTTAATAGCGCTTGTGCATCCAAGCTGTGTTACCTTTCGATCTCCACTGATACCCACGTAGCTACGCATCAATTATATCAGCTTCCGCCTCCAGTGCGCAGCTAACATACCGCGCCTCCCGAAATCATCGGTGAACAGAACTGTGGCACCAATAACCACTGTACGGCGATTAAGAGGTTTTTAAAGCTGATGATGATGATGATGCAGGTGTCGGGGTTTGCATTCTTATACCCCTGCTTTCTCCAAGTGCCTTTTCATCTTTCCTCACTCTCTCACAGATTCGTTCGCTTGCAAACTATTGCTACGACTTACGATTTAGCCGGCCCCGAGTGGAACAAATCAAGGCAGCTGTTTTATCAATCGCTTGCAAAGAAAATGTGACCATACAACCGTCTGTGCTGGGCGATATAATCGAAGCGAGTGGTCACGACATCCGTCAAGTGAGTTTGATTCATTTCAATCCGTGCTTCTCTGTAAGATCCAGTTCAGAGTCTGGCACCATGACGTGATTTTCAGACCCATGTGAAATACCCGTATTTTTACACGCTGTTCGTTCACTAAAGCGTGCGATATGAGCTATCAAGGGTGAGGAAAGTGAAGCATAAGTGTTACTGATGATTGGATTAGAATAAACTCTTTTATTGAGTGAGTATCAGTCAACACAATATCGCTCTCTGTTGATTTCCGAACCAATTTTAACAGATCAGGGGTCCGAAAGGTATAGTTTGGTTTCCGAGATGGGATCTTTCTGGTCGCTGACTTTAAAGGCTTGACTAAGTACGCGACAGTCCAGAATTGGTACAGGTTTTCGTTGGAAATTGACTTTCGCTCGCATGACCCGACTAGGTTTTTCCTATTCTCCACATATTCCTGTACACGGTGTTGATCCAGTGGCCAACCACAACCTTTCAATCGTTTACTACGATTCAGATTAACAGGAAATGAAGAGTGAATGACGAGTGAGATGTTGGTAAAAATATTTATGGAGAACAACCTGTTTATGTCTTGCTCCACTTCTTGTCTCTCTGTGTTAGTTAGAAGGGCCATGATGGGCTCCAAAAGACTGAACGGTTACTTTCCGTTGCACAGAGATGCCATCGGTTGAGACGTTTCCTATGGTCTTCAGTTCTGACCGCCGTAGTCCCCCCATCACAGTAAAGAGGATGTTTGGGCGTATCTTGGCACTGACGAGGAGGTAATCTACTCTTCACAAAGGTCGCTCTCTATAAGATTTACTTTGTCCAACCGAGTCTTGAATGCAGTAGGGCGCAGGTGATGGAAGTTCAATCTGAATGATTCGGACAAATGACTCCGAAGGTAAACTCCATCCGTCCAGCTTGCTGAAGCCCATTTGTGTTCGCGCGTTGGACAGAGTGAGGACGAAACCACTAGCCAGGTTGTAGCACTTGCCAGTTAGTCATGTCATGTGATTACCCAGTTTCAAAAGTGCGACAGCTGTGCAGTTGATTCCAAGAGACGTTCAAACAAACAACTTTAGTGGCTGTTCTTCCTCTTAGGAACTCACTCGTGTCATTTTATGGCAGATTAATTGTTAGACCCAGGTTTAGCAACGGTCCAAGCATGAGTGAGCACTGCCAATTCGAATGAGCCGATAGAGCTCAATCCATAACTGTAAAGAACCGAGGTGCTTGCACTTTCTAACAGCTTTGATGTAGAACGTGTTGTTCCAAGCTAGTAGGTCCTCATGAAAAAAAACAGGCGGTATAGTAATCACAGAATACATTTCAGTTTATACCCGTTGTGGCTTGTGACAGGAATGCGAAGACGGGCACGCAGTGGCTTTAATCGAGAGACAGAATGAGGTATGTGACCGGGTCATGCTTCCCTGCTCATTGTTCGTTTCCCTCATCGATTATGCTTCTTCTCAATCTTTCTACCTACAACCCTGTCGACAACCTCTGCCGGCCTGTGACAGGTGATCAACAATACTCAAATGTGGAGCATATCCGGTTTAGCTGATCAAGCACAGCTGACAAGTGATGCTAGTGGGGCTCAAAAAGACATCCGACTCGGTGCGTTTGACGTGATTCGCAAAGTCTTTCAACCTGATATCAACGGGCCCAACGGTGGTCCCGCTTCCATCAACGACAGTTTGGATTTGTTCTTCCAAGACTACAGTCTGGTTCCGCTCTTTGTGCAAGAAAACTACTTAAATGTCAGGCCGAGAAAGACCGAGTGAGTTTCATTGCTTGACTTTGAAGTCCTGTATATATCATTTGTCTTAGGGGACAGATACTCTTTCATATGCGCAGACTACGTTTTACTGGGTTACAGCTTTACTAGGAATGAGGTAATTCAATATACCAAATCAGTGTTCTAGGGCAACTGACGGTTGAGCAAGCCAATAGTTTAGACTAGCTCTTCAGGCAATGCGGATACCCTAATTTTTGTGTGATTTCAGTCCTAGTCCATTCTTTTATGTACTCAAGCTGTATCTTATCTAATAACGCAATCGAGAGGAAGTTTCTTCATGTCCCCGAGAGCTTTTGGGTGATTGAGTTATCAACTTAGCGTTTTTCGTGGTAGCTATTATCTGTCCGGTCTCTTCTCCAATTGTGTTTTTCATGGGTATCTTTAGCTGATGTCGACGGCCAGTCGTTATGTTGCTCCCATACTGAGCTCACTGTTTTGCTCGACGTGCTAACCTCTCGCCCAACCTTCTTCGCCGTAGCCTCAGTCCCAATCAACTGCTCACACTTTTGGCTCAGGCCTCAACTGACATAGCCTTTGGTGATATCATCAGCTCTAGTATCCGGAACGCTGGCGCCGGATCTTGGTCACTTCTTCCAGTTCAGGGAATCTTCAGTGTTGTACGTCCCGGGCGCATACTACGCGGGTCCTTACCTGGGGGTGGGCCTGGTGGTGGGATCAGTTTCCCGTCATGGTTTGGCAAGAACAGCAACCAAGGCCGGATGTATCGCGTCACCGCCGAGCTGTCACGTCACATGAGGCTGTCTACTCACGGTGCATCATCGAATCCGCGTAGCTTCATCCTAGACTACGCTTCAGTCCTAGCGGATCTACTTACGCGGCCCTTGAAAGAAGGTTAGTTCTTCCTACCTGGAACATTTTGGTTTTATCCATACAGAAACTATTTCCATTTTTAAAGCACGTTTGCGCCTTCCCATGTTGATTGGCGGAAACGGGTAATTAGAGGTGCAAGGCGTCTCAATCGATCTGGTTTCATTCTCACCCACTAATCACCCGTTCACTGAACTTCCCACCGTATTTTTTACTTTTCCAAGGCGATGTGGATAGCGTGCTCAATATGTTGGTCAAATATCAACTTCTACGTGAAGATCTGGATTCTATTCTTGAACTGACTACCTGGTCCAATCGACCTAATCGGATGCTCAACATTGATTCCAAGGCAAGTACTCATTTGCAACTAGCTTGATGTCTATCTGTATGTGGATGAAATTATCGATCCAGGTAGTTCGAAGGAGATTGGATACATGAAATCTGGTGGCATGAGTTAGGACAGAATCGCCTATCATGAACGAATTTCTCGGATTTTTTATTGATCACACGTTTATGTGTACACGGTTTCACATTCACCTTGGTGAACATTTCCGGATGACGTAGTCGGTTGTGTTTGATTGAAACTCCGCACCAGCCTGATCGTCTTCTACACCTTTATAGAGTGACGTGTTTTAATGTCGAATTCATTCCACGCATGGTGAATTAGTCCGGTTATTTTATTTCAGTCACTGTTTAATCGAGCAGAAATAGGCTGACCGTACGCTTTGATAAGTAATTTGGGCCAGCTGCGCTGGTCATTGCCGTCTTCATGGATGGGGGCCCCGAGACGGGCCACATCAATGGTTGGGGACATTGTCAGACATGGCCCAGTCGCGCCCTCAATGGCGCTCGTACATCCAAGCTATTGCCTTCAATGCCTAGCTCTCTTCCCAATCCCCCCCCCCACTTGACAGTGCTGGATTTATTCACCAATTTATCATCTCCCGCCTACAATTCGCAGCTACCTACCCCCCTCCCAAAGCATTGGTGAACGAAACTGCGGCAGCTACAACCACTGTGCGACGAGTACGCGGTTATAACAGCTGACAGCGATGATGATGAAGCTGGGCCCTTTACTGAACGTATTACTAGGCCAACAGAAAAACCAACCGCTGTAACCAGTGCTATACGATAGGAAATAGGTCATCATCATCATCAACGACAGCATGAAGGTATTCCTGTATCTACGGGTGACTAGTACATCGCTCCATGCAACCAACGATAAAATGAAGGGGTAATGAGGAAGAATAATCCGTAAAGTCCGAATAATGTCAAGTAAGACCAAGGTACTTGCATCATCGGATTATCTTTGAAGTATGTAGCCAATTGCTGCCTCTTTAAAAGTACAGATCTCACAGGTCTCTAGGGGGATTTGAACCTCTAGCCTTTCGATAGTTCATCAGCTGGGCGATCAAATCAGCGTTTAAATATCTACAAAGTACACATGAGCTGTTCAGAATGTTCCGCGAGTAACATGGGCCTTCCTATGGAAAGTTTCCTCTATTCAAGGAAGCAGTCAACGCCAGACCACGTGATGCAAATGGTGTGATTTCAGGGTGGATTGTGGAAGTGGAAGTCAATCGACCACCCGTGTTCAACTTCTACTCGGGCAAAGACGAAACAGTTGTACAGTGCTGTTCTTAACCTATTTACCTGCTGGTTTCATTCTAGCTCTGTGCCTTCGACCACTCTCACTACTTCATAGTGTCACTAGTAGTACATGGTTTACTGGAAACTGTATTATGTTGGTATCGTCAGGCGAGGGCGAGATGACTCACATGGTTAGAGCGCGAATTTACTGACCGGAAGGTCCGTGGTTCGAACCCGACCTCTGCCTCTCGACTTCCCCTGTCTAGGCTTGGGCAACCCGGCAGTATCCCAGCCCTCGTGCTTCCTTCGGGTAGCATGGCAGTTAGACACCGGAAGGGTGTTGCAGCTGAGCGATCGTCAGGCGTTTTTGGCCTATTTTAGGATGAATTGTGTTATGATTGGCCTAACTGCACTGACCATCACTTGTGTTCGGGAGCAACAGTGCCTACCATAAGCACGGTTGGATGGCTGCTTCGTTAACCCAGTTCGGTGTTTCGTACCGTATGGCTCCATATATCCTTCGGGATGCCGAAAGCATACGTGAACAAATGGCTGTTGACCAACTCATTATCAATTATTCTGCTGTATTAGTATAACCTTTCTCAAGGTCATGGAGTGAACATTTATCACGATGTCTGATGACGTTTCTTCGTGACAAAGATCCTTACGAACCGGTTAGCCCGCAGGTAACTAATTAAGAACTCGGCGTACGTGTTTTCACTCTATGGTATGCCTAATGTGTCTCAACAGCGCCATTCAGCCCAGTCCTCAGTCGTACGATTCAGTATCTGCATTAAAGTTATTACACTATCCCTTTTTCCATAGGTGAAGGCCGCGCTCACGCGATCGTTCAATAAATCAACCCATTTACTTCCATATGCCACTGGGACAGTAAGCAAAGGCCGAGGTAAACGCGCTGGGCCTGTGGAAACGTCCGCCTCAGACGGAGATGGCGAGGCTGACACGGAAGGGTTGTTTGACGCAACTGAGAACAATGAAGAGGATGATGTACAAACAGATTCGATGATCGTTGTGAGTTCAGCAGAGTTCTTTCACCCGAATTCAATGTGTGTGCTGGACCATGGAACTGAGTTATAATCATATCTATTTTTGGGTCCTGACTTTTCCATTCTTCTTCAGCAACCTTGTGTGTAGTTTCCTTTATGAATATAGTCCAAAGCTCTTTTGAACTAGCCCAACCATGTGGATAAGCGGGAGTAATTATAAACTATTGATGAACCAACAATAAAGTTGATTCCCCTTGATAAATTTTATTCTGTTTTCGTTACAGAAGAAAAAGCATTCCTCAAGTTCGAAACCCCAAAACAAGGAATCAGTGCCGAAAAAGAAGACCAAAACGGAATCAGCTACCACATCAAAGTCCACACGTGGCCGTGGAGCTGGAAGATCTCGCTAATTGATAAGGCTGGTTCGCGGGGACTACGTCCTTCCATCATTAGCCCCCATCCATCCTCCACAATCTCCGGTTTAATGCATTTATTTCTGACCTCAGATGTGTTGTTATCAGCACGCAGGTTGAATCCGAACTTGTGGGCAGAGTTTTTATCTGTTATTCCAAATGTATTTTTTGAGAACTGTACATATGTCTTCATATGACATTGGTGGTGGTTTAGAAGGAACTCCAAAGATTCTGCTGTGAAAAAGTAACTCCCCCTCCGTGTTCTCTTCAAGTGTTCCCAAAAGAACACGCATTAGGTGAATGGTTAACTTACGGGAAGTACGGTGAATACATAGTGGAGGACATAGTTCACAAAACATTACAATTTCAAGTGTTCGTCTTTAGCTAGTGATATCCACCGTTATGCTCACACAGCTGGTTTTAGGTATTGCACCTACAGCCTTACGAAAATTTGAATGCACGATTTATGCGACACGAAGGTCTCCCCGTCGGTGAAACGATTCCCCCAGAACCAAGGAGGGCGCGCTTTTTGGTCTTCGTGATGGCTGATTTACTGTCAAAGAGGAGAGTTTACAAAACGTTCTGTATTCTGTTGCCTCAGGTTTACTGGTCCACTAACGCGGTTGATAATTTTACCTGGGACAGGCAAATGATTCCACTGCAAAGCGCTCAATATCTGTCGATTTCCCATTACTACATCTTCATCCTTGCTCGGAGTGACCCGACTACCGATGAGCGTTACGGAGGTTCACCACGATGTTGTGCATGCCTCATTTAGAGGCATGCAGTTGTGTGAGTGGCATCCCGTCGGGTACTCAAGAAATCCTTTTCAAATTATACCGGGACAACTAAGTCAGACACAAGGCATGCGAGATGTTAGTTCCGTTTCCCGTGAGAAGACACCCCGATACAGGATATCCGTAATTACTTCCTTGAGGGGAACTTTACTCCAATTCATATAGTGCGACGTTTTCGAATGTCATTGTACTCACCTATTCAAAACTTAACACGAATCTTTCAGAGACTAGTTGGTGAGTAGATCCATGAGATTGGTCTCTGTTGTGAAATAACCCAGGGCGTTTGAAGCAGAAACTGAATGGTGAATGAGAGGGTGGGGATCTATGGAACGACATTCGCCACAACCACTAGAAGACCACGGTAGGAGCACTACAAGGTCCATCCATTATAACGACCCGTCTAGACTCGCGGGCGCAAATAAGGGCATATCACTCAGTGGTAGAGGATGCAAACGAGCTGGTAGGTGTCATCTGATTACGAAGTCCCAAAGAGAGTTATCGACTTCACAGAGATTGCTGCACATTCCAAGCATAGTAGTAGGCAGTAGACTGAACCGTGAGCCAAGTTGCGTCAATACGTGGTGCGCTAGAGGTTAGTCAAGATGGAGCAAACAACTTTTGCACAGTCATCCCGCCACCGAGCTCCTGGTCCGTATGACCTCCCACCAACATTGCTCAAAGATGGGAATGAAGTCCCCAGTCAGTGCTTGTCTGATCTGTTTGCGTGTATTTGGAAAAAGGAGACTGTCCCGGACAACTGGAGAGGGTCTGTGATAGTGCCCCACCCTTCAGAAAGAAGCTCGTAGTGAGTGTGGTAACCATGGGGATGGGGATCAGTTTGACTCCGGTCGTAAAGAGACTGTTGGCGTCACTTGTGCTTCGTCACCTTACGGTGGCTCGAGAGGAGCATGTGGAATTCTTGCCTGGTAGGGGTTGCGTTGACCAAATCGACACTCCGTCAGGTGGTAGAACAACGTCATACTCAAACAACCCACAATTTCCAAGGCGCATTCGACTCGGGTCTCCTTGTTCTGTTCTCTGTTCTTTTTGAAACTTTCCTATCAAGGAATGCCCCGGAAGTTTAACATAATAGCTTGTTTATATTCTGACTTCCGGACGTATGGGAGTTTATGGAGAGCTCTCCAAAAGCTTCCGTACACAAAGCGGTGTACGTCAGGGGTGCCTTCTCTCTCTCTATTCCTGTAATTTTGTGATCGACGAGATAATGTGATGAACCCTGAAAGGTCTTCGAAATCTCGGTGTTCAAATAGCCTGTGACGAAAACCTTGTCGATCTGGAATATGCAGACGACATCGTTCTCGTCTTTGAAAAGGAGGTGTTTTTCGATGACCTAACCGGTGTTTTACGCCCCCCAGGATGGGGTCCCTGTGCTTGGTTGGAGACGTTGCGAGAAACGGCGGCCAATCGATTTCAAAGGTATTTATGCTTTCCAGAATTATCTGATTGAGCGGTTGGAAGTGTAGGCACCTCAGAATGTTTGACATTGGGTAGCACTAGGTCCCCTCCCTCACCCTATTCATTTTTTCCTTTCACTCTAGGGCTTTAAATATAATTAGCCGAACCTTATGGTTTTACAGCAGTGAAGCAACACTGATGTTGCTCTTTGGTGATGATGATGAAGGTCATGCTCGTCGAAGAGTGCTGTTTTCCTTGCCGACCAACCCTTGAACTGGCAGAGAGCTATGAAAGAGATCACGAAACGTTTGGGTGCTGTCAGTGAGACTCGTTCTAGGGTGGAGACCGAGTGATCTCCACTGCGCTTGGCTGCTAATCGATATCATCATCATCATCATTGTCAGCTGTAGTAACCGCGTACCTGTACAGTGGTTGTAGCTGCCGCAGTTGCGTTCACCGATGATTCGGGGAGGCGGGGTAGGTAGCTGCGGATTGGAGGCTGGAGCTGAAAAATAATTGCGTAAATACAGCACTGTAGGTGGACTGTTAAGTGGCGGAGTTGGAAAGGGAGCTATGCATTGAAGCCAATAGCTTGGATGCTTGAGCGCCATGTGGGCGTGATCGGGCCATGTCTAGCAATGTCTGGTATGGCCCGTCTCGGGGTCTCCATCCATAAAGATCAATCCCGACCTAAAGCTGTCACCTTGACGTGGTGGTCGGGCTTGGGTGCTGCAATGACCCAGCGGGCTACGCTGGCTGGAACTTCGTTCCACAAGGTAAAACCATGTCAGGAAGGCCAAAGGGAGCAGCGAGACCCCGTACTACGAGTAATCGTGATACGAGGCGGTCTGGGGGTAACGTCGTACTGTCCTCTGCGACAGGAGTGTGAAGGCAGTAAGGTGTTTCCACCAGGCGACCAGCATGTCCATATTTATGGAAGCAGCGATGCTGCCTTCCCCCGAGGAAGGACGGGTTAGAAAAGGTCGGCCCCAAAAACCGCACACTCCGATCGCCCAACGGTTGACCGTGACCGCCGGCGCATTATCCAATACGGTCGAAATACTTTTAAAACCAAAGAGCCCGGTGCTGCTCAAAAGGCACCTGCTGTGCGCAGC